TCACATGTGTTTCTCCATAACGTCCTTGTAATTGTTTGCTCTTTGGCTGATACTGCTCCCCTGGTGCACAGACTAGAAACGGGATACAGCACGAAGAATGCCAGTCCCCTAGATGTGCAAACAGGTGAAAGCTTAATTGACGTGAGTTTACGATGATCATTGAAATGTTATTTGACATGTTTTATTTGAAATCCCTTGACCCTGCATGTTAGAGAAACCTATGTGTTTCCTTTTAAGGCCTGAGCATCAGCCGCAGTATTAGTTTCTGCAGTTTTCTCCCAAGTGTGAGGACATCATTGTGTTTTTTACACGCTCCATTTAAATCCTTCTGACATCTGCGTGGGCTGCTTTCCATTCATTAACATAGGGGAGTTGCATCTTCTTCCATGGTGGCTGGTCAGACGCCAAAGGCAGATTAAGTTTCCTTGAGCGAGGAACTTGTCATTTAGGCTCCTCAAGCTGGAGCTGGGAGCTTTGGCAGCTCTGTGAAGAGGCAGTGAGAATCTTTGCCACAAAAATGATTTTTGTGTGGTCCTGCTGTGCACCCCTGGATTTCAAATTTGATTTATGGCTGCTCATTTAAAAAAAATAAAAATAGTCTGCATTTAGTTTTGTTGCAGGGGATTATCATGTAAATACTGCGACATGCATACTTAATTCTGAAACTGTGGATTATTTCTAAAATTAAACTCATGGTAATTGCTGGCGTATTTTCCAGTTCCTCAAAGTTCTCTCTAAACCCACTGTTGGCTGTGTATTTTCCTTCTTCTATTCATGTAGTTGTCTTTATTCTTTATGGTCCTGCTGAGATCCCAGAGCAGACAGAAAGCAACTGCTAGAGAAGTGGATGAAGCACCACAGCTGAATGCCAGCTACTGCTCCCACAGATGGTCAGACTGCTGGAGACACGACTGAAAACACTGGGGAACGTCTCACAGAACAGTGCACAGAACCCAAAAAGCTTGTTTCAAAACAAGGTGCAAGAAACCTCATCGCTGTTTGGGATGATTTAGCTACACATAAATTTCTTCTCCTTCACTCCCCGCCACTCTTGGCATTTACTATAGACTGCTTAAATAAATTCTTTTCAATTTAGCTATCCTTTCCAGAGCTGCTAAGAATTATTTTCATTTTGTGTTTTAGTCTCAGTTTCATTTGAGTAAGCTGTTTATATTTTTGAACCTACCCCTTTCTGGACAGAAGGCTTTTCCTATATGTTTTGGTGTTTGTCTTTGTTTCCAACCTGAAACATTTTGCTGTTGTGGTTTGCATGGTACATTCCTCGGTAAGTCTGGGAATTATTTTTACACAGTGTTATCTAATGCTAGTGCTCTCATAGTTTACATTAATATTCTATTGCAGAGGAATTCAAAATGCTTGACAATTTGTAAGCCACAAAAGCTGTCATTGTTTGTGGGGAGTAGCTATGGTCTGTGACTTTAAATGAGCATTATATGTTTGTTGTTTTGCATTCAGAATTAAGCAGTTTGATTGAATTGCATTGATGGCATACTGTATCTGAGTTTGAACTTCCTAAGTCTGGGTAACTTCTTTTTTGGATGTGTAGCATCTCAAATATGTGTTTTATTTTAAGATTGGCCAAGTTTGACTTGATGACAGTTTGTACAGGAAGTCAAGTGAAATCAGGATAAAAGTTATTCTTTATCATTGATATCCTGGGGCAGATATTTAGTTTGTACAAAATGTTCTCTCCCCACTGCTAGCTGTCTTCTTATGAAGGAAGTGGTTGGTATTTAAAATCTTGAATTGATGGAAAAAGCATTAACAAGAAAGTGTTTGAAAGTGAAAAGCAGGCAAATGCATGTTTAGAAGTAATTTTCATGGTTTTAACTATGTGGATGATTAAAGAGTCATAGTTCCAGTTCTTGAAAGCCTGTATATCTGTAGTATATACAAGTGGAGAATGTTGACCTCCTAATATAGCTCAAAGTTACACCTCTGCACGCTCAGTCATTCTGTACCATTTTGCTTTAGCTGTGGGTGGAACAGATTGGAAAAAAAAAGAAGTGGATTCCCGTCTTCAAATTAAAAATAGAAAGACGATGAAATGCTGTGTATTACGGAGAAGGTGGCAGGAGTCCTCTGGTTATTGAAGCTTATGAGTACACCAAATAAAGTGGCCCCACTGTGTTCTAATTCCCTGTGTAAATTGTCCATTTGACTTACTCTTCCCATGAAATATTTAGAAATATTTTTCAAATTAAGCTAGTATGCAGTGTGTTGTAGTTTTTTGTCTTTTTCTGTTATGGTCACCATTTACAGTTATTGTTTAAAAGACTTCTGAATCAACATAAACACTGTTGAAAATTAAGCACAGTTGAGAGTAACTGCTTAAGATGTGCTTCTTGGTTCAGATGACTGCAATTTGAGATTTGCTGGCATGCGTGAGTGATTCAGGTGCCCTGAGGTGTCTGAGGATTGATGTGGTACTCAAATAACTGGAGTAACCTTCAAATCATGGAGGCTGACATTGCGTTTATTTATGGCTTCCATTTTTTGACACAGTTGCTGAGTGAAAGAACATAGGCAGTTTGGGCTTGATGTACTGGGAAATCCTTAAAACGCACAAGCAAGCACTGCATTGCCTGGGTGCCTTTGTGATGAACCTGGTAGTTCTTTTTATAGAAAATTAAAAATAGTTTAATTGAAGAATATTTCAACTGCAGTATATGAGCCCAAAATATTGTTGATCACAGACTGCTGTGCATATTAAGCTCCAGTTATTTCCATTAGCTGTTACTGTAACTGTTGTATGAAAAAAATCTTCTATCTGTTCAGGTTTTTTGTTTGCTCCCCTTAAAGTATTTTGACAGATAGCCTCTAAAGTAAAAACATGTAAAATGACTGAATTTGCAGAGATGTGACCTCGAGCTATATTAGGAGATAAACGTTCTCCACTTATAAATATTATAAGTGCAAGCTTTTAAGAGCAGGGACTATTAATCTGTATTTATGTAAATCCTTGCAAATCTAGAATAACTCCATTGAAATTGAAAATTCAATAAAGAATAAATTTATAGCCGCTTTACACATGGTGATTATCAAAATCTTTGCTGTTAAAATCTTTGTTGATTTTCCTTTCCATTTGTGCCAGCAGTTCTCATTCCTACCCCTTCAAGGCATTTGAACGTATCAGTAGCAGTTCTAACAGCTGACCCCTCAGAATGTCTTTTACCATAAGCAGATGCTTATGAAAAGTGGAGAAAATGGGTTTCCTTTTCATTTATGGATCTTCTCTCCTACCTGTCTAAAATACACGCGCCATTTATCACATGATAAAAATCCCCCTTTCCAAAAAAAGTATTAGAGTGCCTTGAGCTTTGTATAGTATTTAATACAAACCGTTACTGTTTGTAAGCAGTTCTTACTTCATTGCGCTTCAGCTGATGACTAAATCCCGGTTCACCTGGCTGATGATGGGAAAGAGCACCAAAATGTGGAAGACAGCTGTTGCCATATCTCCCCCTTTACTTGTTTTGCATTATTAAAGAAGAGAATTAATTGAAAAATGTAAAAAAAAGTCTGAGTTTGAGATTAACTCTGTGATTCCTTGGTCTTGGAACGACCATTTGTACTACAAATGTGATACACTTTATTTTGGAATGCTGCTACTTTCATCTTCAACCTTGCTGAAAGACAAGTTTCCTATATGTAACATCAGTCTGAGGAGCTTGACAGATGATCTCAGATTTGATTTTAATGTCTCTGGGGCCCTGTATATGATATATTTTTGATGTATGAAAATGAAATTGGAGGTGTGGGAGGCCTTGAAACATACAGCTGTGGTACAGTTGTACGGATGTGTAATCCCTGTGAATTTGAATTTGTTTATTTGTTTTTTAATTCTCCTTTAATGTCAAGCTTACAAAAGAGATGCTTAGAAACATGAAATAACTTATGTTGTTCTCTCTCTCTTTTTTTTTTCCCTCCTTTTCCAAATCCATGTGCTTAGTAACAATGATACTGTTTTAAGATCAGAAATTTTATTAAGGTTTAAAAACCACCAGAGATTTTTTTACATATAAGTGAGGAATGAAGCATGTGCAATATATTACCTAGAATGGAAGGCTTCTGTACTCTGCCCATGTACCATCACTGGTGTGAGCAGTGGCATCAGCTCCTACATGTGTCTGTGCTGGAGGAGGCTTTGGGTGCCCGGTGCACTGCTGCTCTGTGGCGAGTAGGCTGTGTTTTGGAAGCACCGGGCAGAGGGAATTTCCCTTGGGAGAGCAGTGAACTTACTGTGTGCTACCTGAAGAGCAAAAGGGTTGACGTAAAAGAAGACAAAATGAAAATGCCCACTATAGGAAAGGCAGAAGTGGAATCAATCTACTTTTTACCTCCACACAGCATTTCTACAAGTACTAATTTGATTACAGCTCTGACTTTTTCTCTATCCTCTTAAGAGGCGTGGAAGAGGACAGAGAGAATATGTAGTTGCAAGCAGAAAAAAATAGTCCAATGAGCTTAATATAAAAATCATCCTCTCTTTTAGGATCAGTAAAGACTTTTGTATTGTCGGGATACCATGTATCTGTTTTGAAGTGGTAATGCTGAGATACTCTGGAGGGCAGACGTATGGGACAAGTGCTATACCCTGTAGTCTTTGTGATATTTTTATAAGATCTGAGAGTTTCTTTGTATTTGCCTAATATTCATGTATCTGTAACGTGATGGAATAGATTAGGAAGCTGCTTGACCTTTAATGGAGATGATTTTTCTCTTGTGTTGGGCTTCAATTTCAGCTTCTGCAATTTCAAAGTAATTCTGTAAAATGCTTCTCATGGGTGCTGTTGATCAATGGAATCAAACCAGTTCAATAGCATAGCCTCTGAAATTGGGAAAATCAAAAGTAGAAATGTTCTAGAGAAAATAAATTAGCAAATTTCTGTATAATGCTGTTTAGTTTGCTTTGAAGCAGATTGCTTGCTGTTGAAAGGTTAATATTGACTGTGCTTGTATGTTTTGTTTTTTGGCAGGTAACCCTGGACTGGCAGGTTATTACAGGACCTTTATACAGGCCTTATATTGTGGACTAAATCAGCAATATCCCGTTTGGGTTGTGAGCCATGCCGGACATTGTAAACCTCCTAGTGGTATGGAAATGATAGAAGGTACAATACTGTAAATTGTACATATAAATATTTGCACCCACCCCCCTCCCAGATTTCACTAGCAGAACTTGTGCCTATTAAAACCAGCATGAGATGGTACTTGAATGTCTCCATTATATTTCCACAGCACAGTTGTATGATAAGAGAAGTTACTGAGGAAAAGAGTTTTTTTAGGTAAATTAGATTTGCCAAATAAATGCTATTAAGAGAATAAGAGAGTTTGCTGATGGCGATCTTTAGAGACAAGTTATAGAAAAGAAGATCTAGAATGTGCTTATGTTGAGAAGAGCAGATTAGAAAAGTACATTTTCTAATGAAATGTCCAGTTCAGAGATTGAGCACTTGAGGAGAGCCTTAATTATCTCTGAATTTAAAAATAGTTGTACTACATTAGTGAATTTCCAGGAGGCAAGTAAATCTTTCTGAGACTGGGGTACAGGGCGTTTGCAGGGTAGAGGTTATGTGTTTGTCTATTAAAAGTGTTTTGAGGTGCAAGTCTCCAGCAAGACATGGTAGCCAAGTCTAAGTAGATGTTGTTAATGTACAGCACTGTGAGGAGGGAGGAGCCTATAGCAAATCCTGTCCTGAAAGCTGCTTAGTGTCAGAAGACCTCTGGACTTGGTCAAGTTGCAGTGATGAAGCAGTAAATCAGTACAGTTCCTTGGGACCAAAAGGTTCAGCAATGTGAAGCAACCTGAAATTTTTGAAGAATAAACTGGTTTAGCTCTTCAGCATAACTTTCCCTCACTAACCTTTGCACCCAAGCTTTTAAGCCTTTTTATTGGTTTATTTAATCTCAGGTTTGAAACCGAAATGTGCAACCTGTATTTCTTTGGTAAAATTCCTGCCAGTCATCACGTTCAAGTGTCAAACCACCAAAAGCTAGCAGTTTCCCCTGATAGGTGAGAAATCCCTAGGTTTATAATTTCTGGTACAATGTGAACCATGGGATACAGGTAGAAGTCTGGCTACCAAATGGAGCTGAGTTTATTGCAGAGAACATTTGTAGGTCAGATAACCTGCCCTGGGATCACGTCTGTAAGTGTACGTTTAGTGCGAAGAACCTTTGATGGTGAGAGGTGTGTTTGATGGCTTGAGACGGCTGAACTAGTTGAAATGCAGAGGTTTTTAGCTGGGCCCAGCAGGGATGTTGTACAACTGTCCCCCTTCCACTGTGACAGCCCCTGCACTGCTAAGGAGAGGGTAAATGTGGGGGAAGGAGAGCATCCAGTAGGAAAGAGGGAGCTCATACCTAAGTTGAAACCAAACCTCTGTCTGACTTCACAGTGTCCTTTTGCGCTGACAATCCTCCTGTGAGCGAGGGGATTTTCAAGGATTTGGTGGCTTGTTAGGATGGACAGGTCAGAAGTGAAGTACCCTGAGGATTGGTGCTGTGTCAGGTTTTGTTCAATATATTCACCCATGACTTGCAGAATGAGAGTAAACAGTGAAATTTCTCAGTTTGTGGGTGGTACTTTTTAGTATTTAATTATTGGGAAGATATTAGATGTCAGGGAACTACAGAAGCATCTTATAAAATGTAATTTGTGGGCACAATGATGGTAGACAAGTGTCAGGGTAGATAAATATGAGTTAATGCATATGACAAAAAAGATCTCCCTTTAGCTGTCCCTGGGCGATCCTGAAGTTGGAATTAATTTGTAAAACTCAGGAAAGATACTGGCATCATCACTGACAGTTCTCTAATATCATCTTTCATTGCACAGCAGTAGACAAAATTTAAGTCAACTAAACGTTGGACGTAACCAGTGCTACAGACAAGGCAGGTGGCATTGGTTTATTACTATATATAAACATAGTGGACCTGCAGCTTGAATATTAGAGTGCAGTTTTGGTTGGCATCTCAAGGACAACATTTCAAGAGTGAAGTTGGTGAGTGTAGGGAGGCAACTAAAAAACAGGGAGGAAGCAGCTTCCTTGTTATGAGAGATTAAATGGCTCTTTGGTTTGGGAAGCAGAATGCTTCTTGGGAGCATGGCTGAGATTTCCAAAAGCATGACAGTAAATAAGGTAAATGCAGTATACAATATACCAGATTCAGTAATGGAACTAATGGTCACTTAGGATCATAGAATCTTTAAGGTTGGAAAAGACCTCTAAGATCATCAAGTCCAGCCGTCATCCCAACACCACCATGTCTACTAAACCATATCCCGAAGTGCCATGTCTACACGCTTTTTGAACACATCCAGGGATGGTGACTCCACCACCTCTCTGGGCAGCCTGTTCCAATGCCTGACCACTCTTTTGGTGAAGAAATTCTTCCTAATATCCAATCTAAACCTCCCCTGGAGCAATTTGAGACCATTTCCTCTTGTCCTATCACTTGTTGCTTGGGAGAAGAGACCAACACCCACAACCTCCTTTGAGGGAGTTGTAGAGAGCAATAAGGTCTCCCCTCAGCCTCCTGATCTCCAGACTAAACAACCTCAGTTCCTGCAGCCACTCCTCATAAGACTTGGTCTCCAGTCCCTTCACCAGCTTTGTTGCCCTTCTCTGGACACGTTCCAGCACCTCAGTGTCCTTCTTGTACTGAGGGGCCCAAAACTGAACACAGTACTTGAAGTGAGGCCTCACCAGAGCCAGGTACAGGGGGACAATCACTGCCCTATTCCTGCTCCAGGATGCTGTTGGCCTTCTTGGCCACCTGGGCACACTGCCGACTCATGTTCAGTCAGCTGTTGACCAACACCCCCAGGTCCTTTTCCGCCGGGCAGGTTTCCAGCCACTCTTCCCCAAGCCTGTAGCGTTGCCTGGGGTTGTTGTGACCCAAGTGCAGGACCCGGCACTTGGCCTTGTTAAACCTCATACAGTTGGCCTCGGCCTGTCCAGATCATGGAATCATAGAATGGTTTGGGTTGGAAGGGACCTTAAAGATCATCTAGTTCCAACCCCCCTGCTGTGGACAGGGACACTATCCACTAGAATCCTCTGCAGAGCCTTCCTACCCTCGAGCAGATCAACACTCCCACCCAATTTGGTGTCATCTGCAAACTTACTGAGGGTGCCCTCAATCCCCTCGTCCAGATCATTGACAAAGATAGTCAAGAGAACTGGCCCCAGTGAGCCCCGGGGAACACCGCTTGTGACCGGCCGCCAACTGGATTTAACTCTGTTAATCACAACTGTCTGAGCTTGGCCTTCCAGCCAGTTTTCTACCCAGCAAAGAGTGCTGTTTAAGCCATGAGCTGCCAGCTTCTCTAGGAGAATGCTGTGGGAGACAGTATCGAAAGCTTTACTAAAGTCCAGGTAGACAAAATCCACAGCCTTTCCCTCATCAACTAGGTAGGTCACCTGGTCATAGAAGGAGATCAGGTTGGTTAAGCAGGACCTGCCTTTCATGAACCCATGCTGGCTGGACCTGATCCCCTGGTTGTTCTGCACCTGCCTGGTGAGTGCACTCCTTATAAACCACTCCATAATCTTCCCTGGTACCGGGGTCAGGCTGACAGTCCTGTAGTTCCAGAGATATTCCTTCTGGCCCTTCTTGTAGATGAGCATCACACTGGCAAGCCTCCAGTTGTCTGGGACCTCCCCTGTTAACCAGGACTGTTGATAAATGATGGAGAGTGGTTTGGCAAGCTCCTCCACCAGCTCCCTCAGTACTCTTGGGTGGATCCCATCTGGCCCCATAGACTTGTGAGTGTCCAGGGGGCGTAGCAGGTCATTAAATGCTTCCTCCTGGATTACGGGGGTTTATTCTACTCTCCGTAATGATACTAGCAGGTTTAAAACAGATAAAAGAAAGTATTTGTTTATGCGACAGGTGAAAAATTTAGGGAACTAGCAGCCAAAGCACTATACTGTGGGCAAATTATATTAGCAGACTTAAAGTGATAAAACAACCTAATGGACAACTGGTCCATAAACAGCTGCTGAAAGAGCCAGGTTCTTCATTGTGCAGGTGCCCTGCTGTCCTTGCTTTGGACACTGACCTTCTCCACACTTCTCTGCTGCTTGTGTCAGGGTTGTGAGCCTGAGAGAGTCACTGCAAGGGGTGCAGAAAGTGGGCAGGCTTCGTTTCTCTCACTGAATAGTATCTATGCGTGCCACTGCGGAGTTTGGGGGACTCACTTGCCTGACCCATAAGGTGTTTTGTATGTTCTCAGTATCATGTGCCAGGTTCTGTACTTACTGGTGCACTTACTGTAGCACCATGGAGCTAAGAAAAACACAGAAAGCCACTGATGCATAGTTTAAAAAATAACAAAAAGGCATTTATGAAATTGTTTGCTTATTTTATTAGGAGCACAGGAGCAGGAGGCTCATGTCCTGTGTTTAGTATACATTTAGACAGCATCCCAGAATATTCCATAGGGAGCTTTTTTCAAGCTAGTCTTCTAAAGGGAACCCTGAAAAGTTTAGTGACCTTTGGAAATAATGATGTTACCATGGGTAATATGTTGTGTTTTGCAGAAGCTTTGAATGTAATGAATGAAATACAGTTCATTCGATACAAACTCAAGGGAAGGCACAAAGTGGCTGGGAGGCCTTATATTTTGCCATTTTATGACAATGTGGGTTGCCTGCAGTGGGAGATTTGGGATAATTCCTCCTCATCCACAAAAAGAAATGGCATAAAAGAAATGAAAAGCAACTTTTAGATATTAGAAGCTGATTCCTTTTATTTATTTATTTATTGCCAAAAATGTAATTTGCATTAATTGACTACAAAGGTGTGCTCAAAACCACTAAACCGAAAATTGAATGTCTTTGCCTTTTCCCAGGTGACTGATTGAAAGGAATAGGGAGTTGTAAACTCATTGTTCATGTTCTGGTCCTGCTCTTGCATTCCACAGGAGTTCTTAGTTGACATTCTGTGGCATTATAGCCAAAAAACCCAGAACCGCAAGGACCAAGAGAAGCACATGCACAGGGACACATAATTCTGTTTTCTGCAGCTCTTCAAGGTTCTGGATTTCTCAGGCAAAGTTCCTGTGTCAAGGACCACTATATAGGATTATGAAAACCATGTCAAT